CTGTTTATCAATATCTCTATGTCAGGAAGGTAGTGGTTGGATCTCGCAACAAGCATATCAGAGGTCCAACTAAGAGGAGCCCCTCCTCCAAGTTTCTAAGCTGTAATAATTCCAGCTCTCTTCCTTTGTTTCCCGAGCACTAAAGATGATGTCTACTTTCTGCAATCGCACCTTGATAATACTAAAACATTCTTTCGTTGCCTTTTCGGTTCTCCAGGACCGGGTTAACTATTCTTTATATTAAATTCTCTCTGTTAAAGTAACTGGTGTGGTTGTCTCCCAGCAGGACCCTGACTGATGTAATTAGGAAGCAGAGAATGTCTTCACTGTTAGATCTGGTGGCAAGAGCAGAAAAGCCAGGAAGATCTTGCAGGGAGCTGGTCCAAAGAAACAGGAGACAACAGAGAGGAAAATTGGCTCAATTTAAGGTGTTAAATGGGAAAGTACAGGGCCAGCCTTACTGTTGTCCTGCCAAGACAGACAGACTGACAGAGAGAAAGAGAATAGAGAGAATCTATTCTTTCTTTTGAATTAAACCATTGCTCTAATGCAAAGATTCCTTGGAAGGTTGAAAAACTAAGCCTAAAACAGAAAGCTGACACTCAGATGGGAGAGCACTGGGATTTGACAGGGAGAAGGGAGAGAAAGGGCATGGAAGGTTCATATACGTGAGTGGTGAGGAATTGTGTGTGGAAGATACTTGGAGGCAAATTTCAAGGAGCACTCTGAATTCAGACTAATGAGATTATCATTTTCTTACAAGTAACAGGAGTCATGGACAAGTTTTAAGCAGAGCCTTATGACCTCAGGAAAACAACTCAGGGAGAGCATGTAGGGTGAATAAGAAGGGCCCACCTGGAGGGAAGGAGTCCTGGGTCGTACAAATAGTTAGGTGCTCAGCTACTAACTGAAAGGCTGGTAGTTCAAATCCACCCAGAGGTGTCTCAAAAGAAAAGCTGGCAATCTACTACTGAAAAATCAGCCATTGAAAACCCTATGAAGCACAGTTCTACTCTGACACACGTGGGGTTGCCATGAGTCAGAATCGACATCACAGCAACTGGTTTTTTGTTTGTCTGATGTTTTTTTTTAAAGAGAGGCTGAGTTTACAGTTAGGACATTATTGTGGTAGTTTGAAGGTAAAAAGATTCTAAATTAACAGAGTGGCCATAGGAATGGAATGTAAGTAATGAAAAAGGGACATCCTTGGCCAGAAAGAAAGCTTTGTATGTCAACATCATAGCTTGCATTTAATATGCTTTTGTATGAATGAATGAATAAATGTTTCTCCTTTTAGATAAGTCCCTAAGAATATTTTGATAAATATTATTTGATAACATAATCCCATTTTGCAGCAATTTTAGAGTTAAAGAAAATATAGTTACTACTATCCCAGAGAGTAAATAATCCAACTTTTCTTTGTGTATTTTAAGGTGGAACTCTGATGTATGAACAAGTGCCCATGGTTGAAATCGATGGAATGAATTTGGTAGAAACCAGAGCCATTCTAAGATACATAGCTGCAAAATATGACTTGTATGGAAGGAACCTGAAGGAACAAGCCTGGTACAATAATCTCTTCTTGCTTAGAACAAAACTAAAAAAAAGCTAGCCTTTAGGTTTATTAGCAGTCATATGTGGTGTAGTTCTTCATAGATTAACAAAAAATTCTTCTGTTTGTTAACTTTTTATAATGGAAAAATATAAACACAGAGCAGAGGAGAAAGAATAATATAGCAAACCCTATGCACACAACATTTACCTTGAACAATCATCACTTCATGGCCAATTACACAGTTCATTTTCCGATTCTATATTTAGTGTTAAGCAACTAGCTCTCAGGTATAAAGTAAGGACAAACACTTTTGTAAGCAAATCTGCTGCCTCCTGTCTAGGTTTGCTTCACTAGATGGAAGTACCACACAGGATAAATCACAAAAACACAGACTCAAAACTTTTTGGGGGGGAGAGGGTCTGAACCCTGGTGGCGCCGTGGTTAAGCACTCGGCTGCTAACCGAAACGTCAGTGGTTTGAACTCACCAGCCACTCCATGGGAGAAAGGTGTGGCAATCTGCTTCCTTAAAGATTTACAGCCTTGGAAACACTATGGCAGTTCTACTCTGTCCTATAGGGTCACTATGGGTCAGAACCACTGGACAGCAACAGGTAACTCTACCAAACTAATTCTTCTGGAAGTGGCTGTTAGAAGCCACCTCATTAGTCCATCATCACACCAGATATCTAACCCAGCCTCCCAGACATTAGTTAATTCTCACCTGTACACACCAGTCCCTTAGCAATGGGCAGACCTGTCTATAAATTGGCAAAATGATCTTGTCTTACTTGGAGTTCAAAACAGCAACCCTAAACTGTAAATTACTGCACAGAATTAGAAAACTATTGGTTGATAAAAAACAAATATTCCATTTTTACTAAGTGATGTGTGTCTTTTAAATAAATGTCTCATTGCTTAAGCCATTGTTTTATTTCAAAAATGTATTTATGTTCAGAAACTTATCTTAAAAAACTTTAACACAGTAAAGATTTTTAAATTGATCTTGTATTTTAAAATCTCCACATAAGCTTTATCTGGCATTACAGTAGTTTCTAACTGCTAAATTTCTGCTGACTGCATCCTGCAGTGTAGTTAAACATGTTTCTCTATCCTCTACATTTCCTACAAATTGGTAGTTGGATCTAGAGGCTTGATCAGACTCAGGTTCTAGTGGTTTTTCCAAGACTCCTTCATAGTGTTGGTGCATTCCCCCATTAGGAAGCAGAAAAGGTCTGTCTGTCTATACTTTATGATATTAGTAATCACTGGTATTCAGGGCTACAATTCCTTCTGCATTTATTACCTGGAATACCTCTAGAAAGAAAAACATCCCCTCATCTATTATTTGATTACCTAGAGGTATGGTTTCCTATAGGTATGGTTTCTTATAGGAGTTATTATTATTTATGCTCAAATTGTCCTATCTTTGCCCAGTGGGAACCAAGTGGAACTTTTGTTCTGACCCTAGTGGTCTCTGATATTTTCCTTGTTACTTCATGTGACATGATGATCCAGGTTAATCCTGTATACCTCTTGCTCCAGACCTGGGATCAGCCATTTTTCTAAGGAACTCTGGTTCCTTTTAATGCAAAATGGTAGATCTTTCACAGAACAGTTGTTGTTGTTAAGTGCCATTGAGTCGGTTCCGAATCATAGCGACCCTGTGTACAACAGAACAAAACACTGCCTGGTCCTGTGTCATCCTCACAATCCTTGCTATGTTTGAGCCCACTGTTGCAGCCACTGGGTCAATCTATCTTGTTGAGGGTCTTCCTATAGTCCGCTGATCCTCTACTTCATCAAGCATGATGTCCTTCTCCAGGGACTGGTCCTTCCTGATACATGTCCAAAGTATGTGAGACACAGTCTCGCCATCCGCGCTTCTAAGGAGCATTCTGGCTGTTCTTCTTCCAAGACAGACCTGTTCGCTCTTTTGGCAGTCCATGGTATATTCACAGAACTAATGTTTATAAACTGAAAATGAAATAATATTTAATATGCCTTCACTGGTATATCACTATTATAAGGCTTCGTATGTATTAAAAATTTTATATTTTAAAACTTTTCAAGTATGTAATCCCACAACAATCCTGATGCTCAGAATGATTCTCTTATGGTTATCTTTTGTTGCAGAACATTGTCTCTCACAGAGAATGACACATATGAGTGAAGGGCTGCGACAACTAGGGCTGGCCGGGCATCTCTCTCTCTCTCCACATGTGGTTAGCTTGGGCTTCCTCACAGCATGGAGTTCTCAGGGTGGTTGGACTTCTTACATGGTATCTGGCTTCTCTTAGAGATAATATTCCAAGAGGCCCAGGTGGAAACTGTAAGGTTTCTTGCGACTTAGCCTCGGAAGTCTCAGAAAATTACTTCCACCCTGGTCAAGCATGTCACCAAGGCTTGCTCAGATTCAAAGGGAGGGGGTTGGAACTTTGACTCTCAATGGGAGTAGCAGCAAAGAATTTGAGGCCATTGTAAACCTTCCACAGACACCCATTGCTATCCTAGGTTAAAGTTAAAGCAACTATGGTTCAAAGAGATTAAGACACTTATATTGGACTAGGCCTGAGATTTCCCAATGCTCAGACAAATACTCTTTTCATTATGTCACAATGCCTTGCTAAACATAGTACCTATCTTTCCATTCATTCTGCCACAGAGATTTGAGTGGTGGCAAGTGGGAACTTAGGGGGTAAGTTTTGTGCCCCCTTGCATTAGCCTACCAAGTTTGAGAACCTTCAATCCAGATAAAGAGATTGTTGGCTGGACAGAGGCCTTCCCCTACATGTATCAGCATAAATTATTTCACTATTATTATACCATTTAAATAACAACACACAATCTTTTCCCAATTTACCGTTTTGGGATTATTTTAATATTTTGTATGTGTTTTAATAAACATGAACTTACCAGTGAAAAACCAGTTGTCGTTGAGTTGACTCTGACTCATGATGACCCCACGTGTGTCAGAGGAGAACCGTGCTCCACAGGATTTTCAATGGCTGATTTTTTGGAAGTAGATCACCTTTCTTCCGACGTGCCTGTGGGTGGGCTTGAACTTCCAACCTGTCGGTTCGCAGTCAACTGTGTTAACCATTTTCAGGGACTCCAACATTAGCCTTACATAGTTAAGATTCACACGCCCACACATTATCACTAACACACTTTAGCCCTATAATTTTCCTACCTCCCAGACAGATTTTTCTTAATATCCAAAGAAACAACAGGTAGAAAAACTTGGCTCATGGAACACTGAGACCCCTAATAACTAGGCAGGTGAACTGAGGCACTGCTTAAAATTGTTTCCCTGGCCCATGAATAGTTCCCTTTCTCTAGAAACTCTTTTTTCTCATCACTCTCTAGGATCGACATGTATGTGGAAGGCTTGAAGGACCTGAGTGATATGATTATGTTCTTCCCACTCTCTCTGCCTGAAGAGAAGGAGATGAACCTTGACTTCATCCTTGAAAGAGCCACTAAAAGATTCTTTCCTGTTTATGAGAAGGTACAGAACAAACTTCTGTTCTGCTTTATGACCTGGAGCAAGGGAGAGAAAAACAAAATTAAAAATAGAGGAAGAATTTTATTGGTAGATGAAAGATCCCAGAACTCTCTGTGAAAGCTCAAAATTCTTCAACTGTAATTATAAAATACACCTGACCTGCCCCTCCTGCCTTATTCTTCGTGGTTTCCTTCCGTCCCTCTTTCCTTCCTTCCTTTTTTTCCAAGATTTCATGCCATCACTTCATCACTACTTGTGGTTTTGGTGCTGACAGAAGAATTTCAAAATTACCTGATATAACCTGGAGTAAAATAGAGGCTTTTATAATCAGGATTTGGGGGTGGGAGATCCCATACTAATTAGAGAGCTGGAGGGAAAAACAATGGATATTATTTCTAAAATACACAGGATAGTATTAGGGCTTAGGGTAGTTTACAAGGCTTAACAGAATTCCATGCAATATTCTAAAAAGTTAAGAAAAATTGTTTTAAAAAACACTTTATTTTTCATCTCTCTGCATTTTTAACAGCTGAAAAAGAATATCTAAAAAAAAAACAACTTGAGCTTTAAGTTACTTAGACAGTGCCATCCCTAGCACCAGGGCTGGCTGTCTTCTTTAGCTATTAATACTCTTGACTTCGAGGTGCATTCATTATAATATGGGTGAATGTGGAACAAAAAGAAGAAAGATGTCAAAGTTTGGTAAAAAATGACTGATGAGTTTTCCAAACCCACCTGCAATGCTGGTTTAATCCATCCTTTCTGGGTTGAGTTAAACAATGGTCCTAAATGAATGACTTAATACGTAATTTAAATATATATGTCATGCTCAACAATCTTAGAACCTAAGCATATAATGATAATATTTAATAAATGTGTACTTGACATAGATTATAGATGCCCTAACTTCCTAGGTATACTTTTCCTTTCGATTGCATTTAGTGAGTTATCAGTTCCATTGCACCAAAATAGATCAAACCATGAATATTCTAGACCCCAGGTTTTCTCCACATCACTTCCTTCAAAAGTATTTAAAAGACTATATATTCACTTGTACTCAGCATATAACTTGAGAGAGTTTTTTGTTATAACTTTACTAATATTAACAATGGAATGGATGTTTAGCGCCCCACCATTTCCAATGACTGAAGTGTTTGTTGTATAGTCCTATGAAGTACAGAGTCTTAGCTCATGGCTAACAATAGTAATAAAAGCAACATCATCAACAGTAGTACTACTAATGGTGATGACTCAAAATGCTGTGCATTTTGCTTTTATTACCTCATTTAATCTTCATGAAAACTACATCAAAGTGGTACTATTGTTATACCCCTTTTCAGAGGAGGCAACCAGAACTTAAAGAAGCAAAGTAACTTCCCCAACGTCATACAACTAATAAAGTTGGAGCCTGCATTCAAATCTCTCTGACTCCTGATCCCATGCCCAAGTATCACAAAATCATAGAGTTTTAGGGCTACAGCATACCTTAGTGATCTCCTACACCAATCTTTCACTTTGCTAGTTATGATCCTAAATCCTCTACTTTCTCCTTCTCAACTATTACGCAGGCACTAAGAGAACACGGGCAAGATTTTCTTGTGGGCAATCGGCTGAGCTGGGCTGATATACAGCTCCTTGAAGTCATCTTAATGGTTGAAGAGTGCAAACCCAGTGTCCTCTCGGGTTTCCCTCTGCTACAGGTAATGCTATCCCAACAGCTCCTAAGGACTGCAGGAGAATGAATTCATAATCCTTTAAGAACCTACTAACTTCTTTATGCCAAGACCTGTGCTAGTGATACAAAGGTGCTCTAAAGAGACATACCTCAGGTGGAGAGGAGGAGAGAAGAACATAGACAGAAAACTTCAATATATTGTGGTAAATTAAAAAATAAAGCAATATGGGAAAACAGATGAGGGTCACCTGGACCAGCCTAGAGATTTGGGGCAGGCTTCTTGCAGGACATAAGCCAAATCTCAAAGACTTGGCCTGGAATGTAGTAGAACCTCAGTAAAAGTTGCTTCCTTCTTCTAGATACAATGAGGGGAAAACAAGATAATATCACCCTAACACAGCCATTACTTAACAACAATAACCATTGACTGAACTCTTATTATATCCCAGGCACTGTACCAAGAACCGAATGTGCATTACTTCATTGAATTCATTCCATTCTCAAAGTAGATAGGAAACGAGACTCAGAGAGGTTAAATAACTTTCCCTAGATTACATTGTTAGTAGGTGACAAGTCTGGGACTCAAACATCAGTCTGTCTGATGCCTGAGTTCTAAAACACTTTGCTACATTGGTGGGTTCCTTTGCCATCTTTTAAAATATGCTTATTTAAAACAGTCGTAATCAGAGTTATGACAATTCTGCACCTGCAGTTTTCTACTTCACCTTATAAGCATGTTTTGATGTTGTTATTTAATCTGTCTTGTTTTTATATAATCTAGTCTTTTATATACATTTTTGTAATTTTTCATGATTATATAATACTCCATGGATTGTGCTCAGAATAACCTTATTTTAAATAGTAAAAGTCATCAGCAACCTAAATGTCAATATCTGAGGTATGTCTACATAAAGGAGGATACATGCTTCAGGCAGAATTTTACGCAGCCACTTAAAGTTATGTTTTCAAGGATTACACAACAACACAAAGAAATGCTTATGACATAAGAAAAACAAGAAATTTCTTTTATTAGTTGTACATCAGGATGCTCTGGCACGTTTGCTTTTATAAATAATGTTGCAAAGACATCTTCATGGGTGTGGATTTTTCCACATGTAAGATTATATCGATAGGGCACAATTTTAAAAATGAGACGGCTTGGTTACAGCCTGTGAACATGGTGTGGTTCTGGAGAAATACTGATAACTTGCTTTCTACAAGGGTAGCATCACTTTGCAATGCCACACAATGTATGAAAATTCCATTTTTCCTACCTCCACCAGCACTGGAGAATAGAAATTTTAAATACTTTTCCTCATATGCAAAAATGTGCCTCATTTACATTATACTTTGTTTATTTTGCTATATTCTTTTTTCATTGATAATGTCCATTTGCATTTTAGAATGTTTTTTTTCAGTTGCTGTCGACCCCAACTCATGGCGACCCCATGTATGTCAGAGTAGAATTGTGTTCCACAGGGTTTTCACTGGCTGATCAATTGTGAATCAATGCGAGCTTTTTTTTTCCAACGTTTTCTTTCTCGCTCTCTCTGTTTTTTTTTTTTTTTTTTTTTTTTTCTGGAAGTATATCACCAGGCCTTTCTTCAGAGGTGCCTCTGGGTGGACTCAAACCTCCAACCTTTTGGTTAGCAGCCGAGCACGTTAACCATTTGCTCCATGCAGGGACACCCATTTACATTTTACTCTGTTTATTTTGCTACATTCTTCTCTCATGGATAATGTCCTTTGCATTTTAGGAATTCAAGGCCAGAACCAGCCATATCCCCACAATTAACAAATTCCTCCAGCCTGGGAGCCAGCGGAAGCCCCCCTTGGATGAAAAATCCATGGAGACTGTGAAGAAAATATTCAAACTGGACCATGGCATGTTTCTTAAAAACATGGCCACTGTAGTAGCTGAGTATTAACAAATGAAGAGCTCTAAGGAATTCAGTAAATATTTCACTTTACATTTGTAGCAGTGCCCAGAAAAATATCATAAGGCCATAATGAAAGTAAATCAGAGAACTCCTTTTCTATTTCTCATAAGGCAATTAAATATTAATTAGTCAGAACCATCCAAATAAGAATTCCTTAGCGTTCTACTTATTGTAAAAGAATAAAATCATAAGCAAGCAGATAGATGTTGAGGATTTCTTGAAACAAGCACATACATCACCATCACCCACTTCCACCACATTTTGGAAAAGGTTCAGGGCACAGTATAGCTTCAAACTCGCTTCTTAAACTTTCAATCACTAAGTATCTTACAGTAGGAAACAATGTTCAAAATGGGGGACCTGGAGCTCCAAGAGAGCCTTACTCAGCAAAAGAAAATCAATGACCATATTTTTTTCAATTCTAAACTATAATCAAACATAAGAAACACCACTAATTTAATAGCAGCTTTTGATGTATGTGTGGGTAGGTAGGGTGGGGTAAGAGGGATGGGAGACATACAGTAAATGAGTATATTAAATTTATTAATTTTTTTTTTACCGACGGATACAGTATATATTTCTTTGGTCAAGTTCACATTTAGTTTCTACTTCAGTATAACAGCCATGTTGTTGTTAATTGCCGTTGAGTCAGCCCCAACTCATGGCGACCCCATGCATGACCTGTTCAGCATCGTAGCAACACACAAGCCTCCACTGACAGACAGGTGGTAGCTGTGCATGAGGTATGGAACCTGGTCTCCTGCACGGAAGGCAAGAATTCTACCACTGAACCACCACTCTCCCTTATAATAGTCATAGACTATAAGCTGTTGCCAATTCGAATCTGAAAGTTCTTCTGAATCATCTTTGACAGTTGGCAGATAAGAGGAGTACCCTAGTGACAACAGCTTTTCCAAGCCATGGTTGTGATAAAAACCTCTTCGCACCATTAGAATTTACATTAGGATTAATGGGATATTTTTTAAGTACATCCAAGGATTTTGTTTGGGTTTCCTACTTGGTTAAGCTGGCAGGGTCAACTCAAATTTTTTGCCTCTCTGTGTAAATCCAAAAATGACTGGAAAAGCGCCTTGAGCATTGATTTTGGGATTACAAATAAATTTTAGCCAGTGGGCAAATTTGCAAAATTGCAATCTGTGAATATTGAGGATCAACTGTATATAAAAATAGACAAAGCAAATGAAAGACAGTGCATCATGATTCTTAAGCCCCTTTAATAACAACAGTGCTTGACAGTTAGAATTGTTTAAAAAACAGAAAACCAACCTCAAACTAGTGTTCACATTAGGAGTGACAGTGTTACTTTTGTTTCTGTAACATAAAATAAGACACTTGATATTTCATGTTGAAGCTTATCTTTTAAATACAAAGAGTTTGCTCTGCCTGCTACAGTGGAATGATGTGAATTCAGTTCACTCTCAGTTCCTCAGATTCTCAGAGCAGCAGTAAGACAAGTCTCAGAATCATCATGAGGCTGGATTAAAATAAAAGAAAGGTAAAAGGAAGGTCATTCTCACATGGCATAAGACAGAAAGGGTCATACGCTCACCTGACGTGGCTTCTCAGGCTCTCTCCACCTTCCAGTCCTTGGCGTAAGGATGGTCTCATTATCCCTGTTTGCTAACCTCCCCGACAATGCTCACTGAATGCGTGAGAGAAACCAGAACTTGGCGTTCTGAACATCTGGGATAAGGTTTTAGGAGAGAGAAGTTTGGAAAGAAACAAAACTTTCAAAAGCTAGTAAAGTAAACCAACTTGAAAAAAGACTCAATGAGCAATTTGGGGGGAGGGGTTATAATTATAATCTTAGATACTGGGGTCTTTTGTTCTTGATCTGTAAACTCAACTTCTGATGCTTCCCACCATCAAGTGGTGGGAAACATTTTTAGAACAGGACTATAACTGGAAAGCAGTTTTTTGTAATCACATTTTCTTTTCATAATAATAAACATGATACACAGCCATAGTAGAAAACTCTACATAGACGTGAAAAGAAGAAAATTAATATTACTCATTATCCCCACCCAAAGACAAACACTACTAACGTGTTAAGGTATTTCCTTCCTATCTTAGTTTTGTGTACACGCATTTTTAAAAATTGAGAACACACTATATTTGGTTGTCTGTGAGACTGTTTTTATCTCTTATTATGTCATTAAGGTTTTCCAATGTCATTAAATAGTTTTCAAAAATATGACATGTAATGCCTACCCAATATTCCATTAAAAGGACATGTAACATTTATTGAAACATTTCCTTACTGGTGAAATTTTAGGATTTTACGTTGTTTCTAATCTTTCAGTTTATCATGTCTTCCATTAGAAATAAAGTTTCAATGAACATCAGTCTTTGTGTCCACCTCGTTTTTTTTGGAATAAATTCTAAAGACTGGAAATATATATCAAAGGAAACAAACATTTTTATGGCTGTCAACGTATAAAACCCTGCAGAAAAACCACACCCATTGCTGTTGAGTCTATTCTGACTCATAGCAACCCTACAGGACAGAGTAGAACTGCCCCATAGAGTTTCCAAGGAGCACCTGGTGGATTCGAACTGCCGACCTTTTGGTTAGCAGCCGTAGCACTTAACCACTACACCACCAGAGTTTCCTTCAACATATAAAGGAGAACTTAAAATGTTACCCTAAATTTTTATTTCAAAATATAACTGACCTCATGGATAGAATTACTGGTCGGATCAAATTAAGAGAACATGAGTTTCCCTATTTATCTTTTTAAAAAATATTACATTTTTCTCCCTTAAAACTCAAAATAACTGCAGCATACTGTCACTATGCTCAATTCTCTAAGAGAAACTGAGTGTTAGATTTAACTGAATACATCTACTGTCTAAGGTAGGTCGATCCTGAGGAGAAATGAGGCTGAATTTAGCTTTCTATTCTGAAAAAGATAAGTGTGTACATGTTATCAGATACAAGTGGATCCAATAAAAAGGTCCACGTGCACACCAGTAAACCAAAGACTGAATGCATCCATGGTACTTAAAGGTTTTTATGCCATGCTTACTGTAAAAAAAATTACTGTGACCATTCAAATTAAAACTGATTTTTGCCCCAAAATTCAGCACTTCAAAATACGACGGCAGAGGAAATGATAGATCGAAACAGCATTTTCTTACCTTAAGCCTGCAACCAGTCCAGCTGGCATTATTTTCTTGGACCTCTTAAAGCGCACACCCATTATGGTGGCCAAGAAGAAAGCTGTAACTGAAAAACCAACCAATCCATGAGCCAGAGTTTCCAACATGTTATCAACGCTTGATTGTGAAAAAATGGATACCATTTCAGCTTTCTAATACTTACTACCTGCTTTTCCCTCAACAACTAACTACTATGTGTAGATACTGAGTTGCTATTTCCTTGAAAAGACACAGTGCTCTATTGAAATACTTTATAAACCTAGCTCATCCGATAGAAGGTTTAGAGTAAATGAACATGACAAAATACATTCCTGAAATATCTTCAAACGGGACAGTCTTTTTCCAACCTATATTTCTATTTATAGAAGACTCCTTGAAGGCTTGGACTGTCTTATTCGACTTTGCATCAGGAACACTAGGCAGTATACTTGGAACCACAGGAGACAACTCAATGAATGTTTAATTAACTGAATGCTAAGGAAAATTATCAATGTTTTTAAAAAGTAAGATCTGATTAATAAAATAATACTAGGAAGAAGGCTGACTGCTTTTTATATAGCATTCCATTTCAGAGAATTTGATAACAACTGTCTAAGCAATAATATTATATTCAGAAGCATCACGTCAGCCTTCTAGCAGCTGTACCAGTAAGAAGAGAGAGGTGGTTTCATATAAGAGACTGATGTCACAATTTAAAAATAGCCTTCAAAGGAAAATTGTTTATTGATATAAAAAATAAAATGATTGACAATAAACAGGTATAAACTATTGAAATGCATATGAATAAAAAGCGTGCTATATCTATATCTTGCTGATATATTTTTTTATCTTTTGATACAATCTCAATATTAAAAAACACCCCAGTTTGTAGTCAAGATAAGAAAAACAAACAACAACAAAAAACAACTAAATTCTCTTTCCCTTCCTCAGATATAGAACTGATACAATTTTGTCTTCATTCATTTATATTTTCTTCCATAACCCCAGCACGGCACTTTGAATAATAATCAGCCATATTGAGACAATTTCCCTGGCCTTGTTTTCCAGACCTTCACTGTATTTCTCTTTCAAGTTAGACAAAGGAAAGCCAAGTTTTGTAGAGGTTTTAAACACACACAGATTTCCATACCCACCCACCTCCCACTCCCCCTTGGACCTTTTGCTACTGAGTCCAACAAGGGAAGAAGTTAAAAAGGGTCAACTTTGCTTTTCTAGATTCAGTATTAAGACACAGCAGGATCTAAAAGCTGTTTGTAAATTAAATAATACGAGGCTGTGTCTTTTTAGGTACTTTCATAGCAACCAAAAAAAAAATAAAACTATACTAAATATGCATTCAAGAGAGCTAGCAGAAAATCTGGGAACAATTCCCTGCTTTTTCTAATTTTATTTTTTTAGTAACAAGTTTTATAGAAATATTCTTTTGTTAGAAAGCTTGGTAGCAGTACCATTAATTTTGATTTGGTCTGTCTAAAAAGGAACAAGAGTTGTATTCAGCTTCAATACCAGCATACGGCCACTTGCCATTTGACTATATTTTTCTAGTATACGTAGTATAACCAAAACCAAACCTGTTGCCATCGAGTCTATTCCAACTCATTGAGACTCTATAGGACAGAGCAGAACTGCCGCATGGGGTTTCCAAGGAGCGTCTGGTGGATTCAAACTGCCAACCTTTTGGTTAGCAGCCAAGCCCTTAACCACTGCACCACCAAGGCTTCACACTTAGTGTAGGGTATCAGAAAAAAATCACCCCAAAGGTCTGATTTTCCATAACTGGGAAAAATGCATTACTTACACAGGGACACTTTCACATCTCGTTTGTCATTAGAGACACGGTAAGCGCCATAGCCAGCCAAAAATCCAACACAAAGACCACCAATCAAAGATGGAACACCACCTGCGGTGGGGGAGGAGCAAGGAGATGCGTTCAGAAAGAGAATCCCAAATTAAATATGATACTTGCATCTTCAAATATATTCCTACTTGGGCATTTTAACCGGACAAAGCCAAATTAAATACATGTCTATTCAGGGAGAGTTTATAAGAAATGACTATTTTATGCTGGACCCTAAATGCAAGGCAGAGGAAGCCTGCATGCAGAGGAATGCAGGGGTTAGAATACTGCTTCAGGGAGTAAGATGCCTGCCTCCTAGCAGTGGTTCTGACATTGACTGCATGATCTTGGACAATCAGTCTGACTTCTTTATGCCTCCATTTTTTTCTATTCCCCTTGCCCCCAATTTTTAACTGGGAGATTATGACAATAGAAAATAAGGTGCAGAAGTATTTTGAACTTATATAGAGAGATTCTGTTCCAAGCAATGGTTCTGTCCTGAACAGTTAAACCTTCGAGCCTCCAGATGTCAGGACTCAGGAACCGTGACTAGACTGAGAAAAGGGAAGTGGCCTGAAACATGTTTAATGAATTTTCCTTTGTAACACAACTCAGTTTTTTTGACACCACAGTTATGTAAACAACAACAACAAAAAAATCCTCATCTGATAATAAGCGAGTTAAATCAATCACTCATGTAATTGATAATGACAGGTGAAACTAGGATTTTATGGCAAGGAGAGGCCCAGAACCCCCATATAGGAATGCTCCATCATGTCCATTATGCCCAGGCCCACCTAACCCACCTTCCTTCCAGGAAACCCTTCCACAACATGCTGGTCCTCAGCCACCTCTAGGCTGTGTTTAGCTTCAGGTTTGATTCACAGACCCTCAGTTGCTCCTAGCATAACCATCAATCCCCTGCCAAATCCCTTTTATCAAAAATTTGGTTTGGACTTACCTCTCCGTTTATACCCCAAAATGCTTCCAAATGTCACAAGGGCTGCATAACCAAAACCAACCAGGTCCATTGGCAGAGTTGTAATTCTAAGGCAAGCGCAAAGGGACAAATTAGATAAAAAGATGTTTGGTGAGTAAATTTATGTAAAAGTGATATACATCCCACACAGTTATAAAAATGAATTTCTCTAGTCTGCTAAAGAAAGTGAGGCGAACACTTAGGCTCACTCTCCATCCAGCCCAACACTCAATCACTGTCCCCACTTCTGCATCACCCTCAAGCACCCTCCGGGGAACTCCTGTCTTCAAGGCCTACCAAATCCTCAGCTGTTTATTTCCCTCCACTTTCCCAAATAAGACTTCTGCTCTGGTCAGTCAGGTCTCTTCACTGGACCATAACCCTACAATCTTTACTTTTTACTTCCATGCCTGGAATGTCTTCCCTCTCTGCCACCTACAAAACCCCAACCACCCTCTACACCCCATCTCCTTGTGAACCTTCTCCCTGACTTCTGTCCTTATTAACCACTTCCCAATCTTCCTAATCCCTCTAGCCTGCATCATAAAACTGGTCTAGAGCAAATTTGCTTCTTCCTTCTCTAAATTCTTCGACTTAAGCAACTTCACCTTATAAGTCATATTCCCCTCCCTAGACTCCCAGACCCAGCATCCTTCCCAGCCGAAGAACAGAAACGGGGTAAACTATAAAACCCATTGCCGTTGAGTCAATTCCGACTCAGTGACCCTACAGGACAGAGTAGAACTGCCCCATAGAGTTTCCAAGGAGTGCCTGGTGGATTTGAACTGCTAACCTTTTGGTTAGCAGCTGTAATTCTTAACCACTATGCCACCAGGGTTTCCAAAGGGGTAACGTGGACGTTTATTTGTTGATTTAGCCAAAGATTCACGTTAAGCATTTGCTTTGTCACTAGTTTTGCTGTGAGACACCTCTTCTGTGGTGGCAGAGACAGCCACGTTTAATCAGTGGTAAATTACTAAAGAGTGTAATGATGCCCTGGCATGAAAGCTAACTGAATGATAATGATATACTGTGTGTAGCAGCCGAAACATATATCCAGGGATAAGAAGTTCCACTGAAATCCTATCCACAACTCTCTAAGATATAGTAGAAAGTGCTGGTTCCAGGCTGGAGATGTGGGTACTGGTCACAGCTGACTGTTGGTCCTTGGGCCACAACCCATCCCCACCCCATCCCCAGTCTCCCCAAAGTGAGGGGAATAAACGAGATGAGCTCTAAAGTTCCCTGCCATTTTTTAACTTAGAAGTTTTCTGGTGGTGCTTTTATAACTTAAATTTCTCATATTTGTATTTCCTCCATGGGGAAATAATTATCTTTGCACATATTTGTTGCATATTTTTCTAATTTTTTCACGGCTCACTATTTAAGTTAATCCAGTCTTTTATTCCCTGTATCAATTGGTAACAAATTTACCCCAAAGAACAGAAAAGCAGTTTTAAGCTTATCTCAGAGTAAGTAGGAACTTACTGTGAGGAAGAATCTGAGGGGAGAGGGTCTGAGACACAGGAGACAACAGTACTGAGAACGAGGCAACACTGAGAAATTCTTAACATCTGCAGGAAGAAGAGTTAAAACAGATCTCATCTGTGCCCAAGAAGTGGTATACAGTGGGATTTAACATGTAGGATGGATCTCTGTTCAAAACCATTTGTGGACTGAAAGAGGAATAAATAAATAATAATGTTTGTGAGCAATCACCATGTGTTAGGCACCATTCTAAGGACTTCAAGTATCAAACTCATGTAATCAGTACACAACACTATGAGGTAAGTACTATCATTACCTCCATTATCCAGATAAGGAAACTGAGACACAGAGAAGACAACAAATGAGCCTGAGGTCACAGACCAGAGCCAGGATTTCAGACTCAGGGAAGCCTCACTCCTAACCACTATGCAATACTATCTCTAATAACTGAGTTAGCCGGCTGAGGAAAGTAATGTGCCAATAAAATTGCTGTTCAGAGTTCTTTAATTCTGGATTCATCACTTCTGCTTGGCCTCATAACTTAAAATTGTGACCACACCACACTGTCTTCCACCTGGTGGCTTATAATTTCAGTTTGTTCAGTCCTACTTACTGTCTTTCTCAAGGAGCTAATCATATTCCACAATGTACGCTTGGCTCCAAACCTGATGTCACCACTTACTAGCTGTGTACCATTAGGCACAATCGTTAACCTCTCTTTAATTATTCCTCCATTTTTAAAATAGGGATAATAAAAATATCTACCTCATAGGGTAGATGTAGAAGTAAATAAGTTAATGCTGTAAAGCACCCAGAACACTGCCTGGCACATATTGAGCACTCAGCAAATACCAAAGCCAACGGCTGCTGAGTCGATTCCAACTCATGACCACCCCAGTTGTGTCAGAGTAGAACTGTGCTCCGTAGGATTTTCAATGGCTGTTTTTTTTGGGAAGTAGATCACCCGGCCTTTCTTCCAGGGTGCCTCTGGGTGGACTCAAATCTCCAACCTTTTGGTTAGCAGCCAAGCACACTAACCATTTGTACTACCCAGGGACTGTCAATAAATATTAGTTGCTCTGATAATAATTATCCTTCTCTTTCATCCTTATGCCCATTTTTAAGCTTGGTATGAGTAAGGCTGTTACTATTTTAACACACTTAAAAAGCAATGGAGACGGTGAATTTATGATTCAGACATTCAATGAATCAAACCATAATGTTAAAAACAACTGATATTTATATTCGATTCCATTGTAAAAGTAATGTATTGAGTTGTCTTCTTTGTGGGAGGCAGTAAGGAAAGAATGAAAAGCCCCTAGACAAGACTCTGGTCTCCCAGGACTTACAGTGCAGCGGAGGAGGCAGATGCGAATGAGCCCTAAGGGGGAAGTGGGCACATCATAAGGGCTTGGGAGCCTAAGGAAGAATTCCAGAGGAAGCAGGGTCCCAGCTGGGGCCTTCAGGAGAGCAGAAGTAAGCTAAGTGAAGAGGGTGGCAAGGAAGGGTGTGTTCCAGGCAGCAGAGTGAACGTGTGCAAGGCTGAGTGGCATAAGAAAGCACAGCATGTTCTCGAAACAAAAAGAAAGGGCCAAAGAAGTGGGGCTGGCGGGGAAGACAGGGCCAGACCACCTTACTCCAGGTAAGGGAGTCTGTGCTCAGGACAGTGAGGAGTCAATGAAAGGAGTGTCAATCTAGATTTAAATCTGAGAAAGTGCTTCCTAGCTGCAGTGGTGGAAGATGGGCTGAAGTGAGGCAGGGAGATAAGCTGGGAGGCAGCTGTGGGTAAAGTAAACAACAGATAATGGGAGCCTGGCCTGGAGGATGGACGAATCTGAGAGAGGTTCAGGAGGTTGAATCCACAGGCTTGGATGTGGAGAGTGAGTGGGCGATGAATCAGAGTGACTCAGGCCTAGGTTTCTGGGTTGGACCACTAGGATAGATGGAGGAAGGGGGAGCCTTGATGTTAATCCCTGAGGGTGGGGATGGTGGCTAGGGATGGTGAGACCTATTTGGAACATATTCAGTCTGAGACGCCCAACACACAGTCAGGAAAACACTCTTACATTCAGATCTGAAGCTCATGAGAGAGATCATTCATCATCAGGATGTAACTTGGGGACCTAATCTTTTCCTTAAACCCAGCACCTGGTATGAAGCACCAATTCCTCTTTTTCCTCTGAGCCCCCAGCTCTCCCCCTGAACATCTTCTGCGCCCCATTCCCTTCTATTCTGTTGGGCTTTTGCCTCCTCCCAGTCAGTCAAGCTCCTTGAGGATAAAGACCAGGTTCAATTCATCTTTGTCATCCTCACAACACCAAGACACAGGCCAGCACCTCAGCAGGTGCTTAGTAAATACTTGTGAAAGGAAAGGAGGGAGAGAGGAAGGGAAGAAGACACAGCTTCTGCCTTAAAGCATTGTGTAACTGACCTACTGTAGCTCATTTGCCAAGAAACACTGAGCCTCTTAATCTCCTCAATGAACTGAATGTGGTTTTCCTTAAGGTAAAATAAATCTATTCCCAATCCTTGCAATAGATATCTCTTCTCACAGAAAATTAAGACAAACAGCAACTACCCCTCTTGCTCGTTTTTATGGTGGGACCATTTGGCCAGGCCAGAGGCAAAAAGCCAGAGGGCCGTGTGAACGTGAAAGGGATGGAGAGGAGAGGTTATGTGCTCAGCACATCATGTGCTCCCATTTCAACCGTGATGCTCATAACTTAAAAAAGCCAGAAAGCATCTTGGGTGCAATGCAGTAAAATGATTTTACTACACAGCATACAAAACAGGTGATAGGGCCCTGCCTTGCCCCCAGCTCAAGTCTTCCAAACTTTGGGAAACCCACTAGGAGATTTTCCATAAGCTACTATATACAAAGCATTTTCACGTGTCAAGAGTATCAAAAATTACCTATCCTTGGGCTCCTTGGGACACGGAAGAGACACCTGGGAGGTGCTGGGAAGGTTAAAACCCTACAAAGCATATTTGAATGGTCCATGAACTCCACCCACCTCTCTAACTCTCCCTAGTTCCAGTAAGGCAGGAGAAAGTGTACGTGGGAGGTTCAAGGCCAAAAGAAGGAAGAAATTCGGGGAACTCCCAGGAGCAGAAGAGAAGCGATCCTCGGGATGGCAGACCCCAGCCGCCTCAAAATCCTCCCAAGGTCACCTGCATCGTTGCCTGCTGCAGGGATAGGGTGGGGGGAGGACACGCCCAATAAAGACCCTTTTTATTTCTGCGTCTTTGCAAGAAAATTCAGGGTGGGAAGGTCTCGACTGCGAAATGCACAGCTCACTTGCAGCCCCGAGCTCTCCTCGTTAATGAAAACAGAGAAGTGGGAGGCCAGATGCCGGCAAGAATCGTACCTGGAATCCAGAATAGGTTCCGGCCGTCAGCGCCTTGCGACTCTGCGTCCTACCTTCCCGGGCTGGGCTCTGGCCGCGCCTTCCCCGCTGCGCGCATGCGCCATGCCCTTCCCTCGTCTCCCCTCGGTTCTGCCCTGCAGACGCCCAGCGGGCCGAGAGGAGGAGCCCGGACGGCCCCACCGCCCGGGGCGCGGGTGCTGCAGCATCGCGGGTGGCGGCCAGACCAGATCACTTCTTCCGTCTGCCCACCGTTCGGCCCTGGCCCTGAGCCCAGGAAGGTGCTGGGGTCTGCTGCCTCCTGCCGGACGGAGCGGAACTAGCAGGGGGCGGGACTGGGTGTAACAGGGATCCCGGGAGGAAGTGTTTTTGACAATCAAATCCATCCATCATTCAAGGGACATTTGTGGGACCGCTACAGCAACCCAGACGTTTTACACACGCTCCAGCAGATTGTCCCCGTTTTCAGTGGAGGGAGCTAAGGCTCAGAAAGGTGAAGTGATTTAGTTGCCCAAGGTCTCAGCTCCTAAGTGGGGTGCAGAGGTCAGAATGCGAATGTCTCAAGGGCTGCCTAACCAAAGCACCCTTCATTACACCACGTCATCTACAGGATAATCTATACGTGACTGGGAGATCAGCATCCTGGCCTTATACTCCATGCCCAGGATTTGCTGGGTTTAGATGTTGGAGGAGAAAGGTATAGAATCTTAGAGCTGGAAGGCACTTTAAATCTTGTCTAGCCCCAGTGTAACCCATTCTTAAAGATGACCCTTAGATTGACTTGGAATTATGTCTCGGGGTAACTTCTACTCATCTCATTCGTTTTGCCTTCTAGGCTGCATACAGGAACTCCAACTCCCTTCTCAAAACAGACCTTCAGAGATTTGAAGGCTGCCGTCTAGGATTCATCAAGCAGCTCTAAGTGCTGTGAGACTGGGAATAATAACAAAATTCCTTAAAATAAAAAAGACTCAAGTTAGCTGGAGTACTGGCTTCAACTGAAAGAATAGTAAAAAAAAAAGATTATCGGGTTAGGTTGCTCTAGTTTAAGAGTGTCTGTGAACCATCCTGAAAATTAGGCAGTAGGAATTTTAAACAAGACAAAAAAAAAATTTTTTTTAGAAAAAATATTTTCTTACGGGTATGAAGTATGGGTAGTTAGGCAATACTGAAGGCAGAGAAACCACTTTAAAACGATCCCAATATTTGAGACAAAATATGATGATGTTCGAATGTAAGCAATGTAAGTATAGATAGGAAATAAGAATGCATTCAAGATATGCTTGAAAAGACTGATAAGAGTTCATGAATGTTGTGGAAGATTGCGTTAATGGCTCCAATTCTTCATTTCTTCCGGTATCCATGCCTTTTGCCGTATGACTTGTTTTGGCTAATGGAATGTCAGCTGGAGTGATGGGATCAGAAATTTTAAACATGCTAACATACTTATTCTTAGACCTCTGACATTGCTATGAGAAGAACATGCCTAGGCTAGCCTGCTTGCCCAGGAGGAGGAGAAATACAGTTGGAGCAGTCACTCCCAATGCTAGCCTAGAATCTAGCCACCTATAGATTACTGAACCCAATAAACACATTTTGAATTTTAAAAAAAGAAACCTAAGAATATATTTTGAATCTTGTGAATTTTTTGTTTGCTGAGTCTATTTCTTGTGCTTAAGTGCTTCAGGAAAAAATAAAGTGCTTTAGGGAAGTGATATGATTGTATCTAACTTATCA